AAATCTGTCCCAGATCCACTCCCTGTGAAGCGATCAGGGATCCCAGTGTACCTAGTGGATGCCAAGTAGACCAGCAGCTTAGGGGACTGCCCTGGTTTCTGCTGGTACCAGGACAAATAGTTCTTTTGGTCTTTGCTGTATAAAAGGCTCTGACTGGACCTGCAGCTAATGGAGACTTTCTCTCCTGCTGACACAGCCAGGGAGGATGGAGACTGAGTCATCACGATGTCTGCACAGGCACCTGCAATCAGTGTTACACAATAAACATCCATATAGACACAAACACAGACTGTAAAAACAGTTGAAATTTGCCATTTAACATCTTTGTACTATCATGTTGTCAAAGTATTATTATGTAAGAAATAATGAGTCTAGCACAGCCTAATTTTTTTTCATCTAAAATGAAGTTATTCTGCAAAGATTATAAGGTTTTGAGTTTCTCACCAGACACCCAAAGCAGCAGGGATATGAGGACCTGGGTCTGTGACTTCATCTTGCTTCCCCTGCTGTCTGGTGCATTTCAGTTCTCACTGTAGAGGCTGGTTTATATATTCTCAGCATCTGGGCTGTGCTGTAGGGGCCCATGCAAAGCAGTCAGCAGATACAAAAGCAAATGTCTGTGCAGTGTCTGTGAGTGTAGCTGCTGTCAATCAACAGTCAAAAATACTATTACAGGGAATGTGACCAATCACTGAAAAAGATTGCCTTACAGCTCTCAAACAGGAAAGTATTAGGTGATCTAATAGTAGACCTGGGTTAAAATCCAAGACATATTGAAATCAATTGACTTCTGTAGAAACATAGGTAGAGCTATACCAGATTAACACTCTTAGGGAATGATAAGATATGTTCAAACACATCACAACACAACAAAAGAAACAGAGTAATCAATCATACCATAAAAGAAAGAAAGGGTGGAGAGGAAAAAAGAGAATTGAGGTTAAATGTGTTCAATAATACATATTTTAAAAGCCACTCTTATCATGAAGGCAGAGAACAGGGCTTCAGACATTTGCACTATCGTTTCTTAAATAAACAACAAACTAAGATTCAAAGAGCAGCCAAGAATTCACTCTGTGGTTGTCATGGCAGACATTAACTTAAGTCTGATATCAGAAGAACTTTAATCTCAAAGCAAAGCAAACCCAGCAAAAACTAACATGTATCCTCCCCACAACTTCAGGAAATTGAAAGAGGGGTCTAAATCTGGAGAAATGAAATCAGAAAAGAATAGATTTTTCATGAACTCTTTTCTGTAGACCAACACTGCCATGTGTTTTGTGTGTTTATTATAACTTTAATTATATTTTTATTAATTACAGTTTATTTAATTTGTTTCCCAGCTGTAGCCCCCTCTTCCATCCCCTCCCAATCCCACCCTCCCTCTCTCTTCCTCCTCTGTGCACCTCCCCCAGTTCAATCAAAGGGGAGTTTCTCCTCCCCTTCCATCTGACCCTTGTCTATCAGGTCTAGTCAGGACTGTCTTCCTCTGTGGACTGGTAAGGCTGCTCTGCCCTCAGGTGGAATGATCCATGAGCCAGCCTCCGAGTTCATGTCAGAGACAGCACCTGTTTCCATTACTAGAGAACCCACTTAGACACTGAGCTGCCATGGACTACATCTGTGCAGGGGTTCAAGGTTATCTCCATGCATGGTCCTTGTTTGGAGTATCAATCTCACAAAAGACCCCTGTGCCCAGGTTTTTTGGTTTTGTTGCTCTCCTTGTGGAGCTCCTGTCCCCTCCAGGTCTTTCTATCTCCTCCTTCTTTCATAAGATTCCATGCACTCTGCCCAAATTTGGCTGAGTCTCAGCATATATTTTGATACCCTTCTGGGTAGAGTCTTTCAGAGACCCTCTGGAGTAGATTCCTTTCTACTTACCTGTTTTCTCCCTTTTCTGATGTCTGTCCCATTTGCCTTTCTGAATGAAGATTGAGCATCTTACCCAAGGTCTCTCTTCCTGATTAGCTTTGCTAGGTGTACTCATTTTAGTATGATTATCCTGCATTACATGACTAATATCTACTTATAAGTGAGTATATACCATGTCTCTCTGCTTCTGGGAAAACTCACTCAGGATGATCTTTTCTAGATCCTTCCATTGCCCTGAATATTTCATAATTTCCTTACTTCCTTGTTTTAATTGCTGGGTAGTATTTCATTGTGTAAGTGTACAACTATTGCTGTATCAATTCCTCAACTGAGGGACATCTGGGTTGTTTCCAGGTTCTGGCTATTTAAAAAAAAAGCTGCTAAAAACATGGTTGAGCAAATGCCCTTGTTGTATACTTGAGCATCTTTTGTATATATGCTTTGGAGTCTTATAGCTGGATCTTGAAGTACCAGTCTTGCTAATTGTCTGAGAAAGCTCCAGATTGATATCCAAAGTGGTCGTTCAAGTTTACATTCCCACCAGCAGTGGAATAAGGCTCCTCTTTCTCCACATCCTCCCCAGCATGTGTTCTCACTTGAGTTTTTGTTCTTAGCCATTCTGGGGTATCTCAAGATCATTTTGATTTTCATCTCTGCCATTCTATATTCCTCTACAGAAAATTGTCTGATTAGCTCTGTACCCATTTTTTTTAATTGGATTACTTGATTTGTTGCTGTTTAACTTCTTAAGTTCTTTATATATTCTGGCAGATATAGGGTTGGTGAAGTTCCTTTCCCAGTCTGTAGGCTGTTGTTTTGTTCTGATGACAATGTCCTTTGTTTTTAAAGAAGCTTTTCAGTTTCATTAAGTCCCGTCTTTGTCTTTTGCTTGTTGATTTTAGAGCCTGTGCTGTTGGTGTTCTGTTCAGAAAGTTGTCTACTGTGCCAATGAGCTCAAGACTCTTCCCCACTTTTTCTTCCATCAGGTTTAGTGTGACTGCTTTTATATTGAGGTCTTGGATCTGCTT